ATCTACTTCAATTTAGTATGGTGAGTGTAGTAACCACTGGCGCAGAGATCAACGACCTCGTCCGTGTATCTGCAGCGTTGTTCGCGAAGTCGAATGAATCTAGCACCTGCGTACCGTTAGGATGAATTCAAAAGGAGTTTGACATTTCCACGAATGTATCTTTTTACGATAGCGGAAAAGAAACAGTACACCTCTTAGCACAAATCCTCTTAACACAAAGCACCGTTGCACTTGATATTTTTACATACAAGATACCTACGTATAATTTAGTAACATTTTAATGGACGCGATTAGGATTAAAATTTGCAGGAGCTATTGTTACTATATTATTTAATAATCTATTAAAAGATGCCTCGTTATTAGAAAAATCTTGATCTGTTTAATTTAATTGATAAACTTATGAAGAGATTAAATTGTATGTATATGTGTGTGTGTTATAAATTATATATTAAGAAAGATGTCTGACAAGATTGAATCTTAATAAATCTGTTTTTCTTCTGTTTGTATAGGTAAATTTTGTCTTGACGCAATTCACAGCCCTCATATTAGCCGCATTATTAAGATCATCTTTGAGCCCCATCGCTACTACTCCAGCTGCCAGACATGTTTATGGCCTTACCATTGGTCTTGCTCTTGGATATTTTTGCTTTGGCAGGTAAGCTTACGTTCCATCCGTTCCATGTAAAAGTAATGTATGAGAATTTTTGCTTGTTGCAAAATGGTTGTAACTCGAAATATTAAGTATATGCCATTTAAAGAAATTCCAATTTATGATAATTTTTTTTTTATATTCCTATTGCTTAGCCAAATAATATTTAGTTTAGTATTAGACAAACAATATAGATTAGAGTTAGATTAGTTTCATTCTAAGATATAATTTTCTTTGAGATTCTATCTTCATCTTGTGTCAATTCGATATCGAGACAAGGAGCTACCGCAAAGTATCGGTAAGCAATACATAACTCAATTTTAAGTTACTCTTATAATCCAAGATTAATTCTTTCAGTTGCAACTGTTTTGCCAGCGCGTTATCGAATATCAGTATCTGTTTTAACAGAGGAACTCACTAATCAGTATTCTTTTTCAGGCAAGCGATTCATCTCGCTATTCTTCCCGCGTTATGTTACGTAGCGATGCGCACACAAAATCCTCGCAATATGCAGAGGTAAGCTGAATATAAATATACATATATATAAGATTATTATAACGTTAACTTACGCACTGTTAACTGCGTTGTACTCTTAAAGCCCATCTTTTATTTGTGTGTTAATAAACTTGTTAATAAATATATATTTCAGTATCAGGAATACTATATCAATATTTCTAGTCAAAACATGTTTATCAATTCTAGTTAGTTATGGCAATGTTTACCATAATAGTGATAATATTATCGCGCTTATTATTATAATAAAAAAATCGGATTTGCGCGCTTTATCGGACAATACGTTCTTATGCATAATTAATCCTAAATATCCTAATGCAATTATCGTTATGCAGTATCATATACTCCCTCTCCCGAGACTAACGAGGAAAGATTGCGCACGTCATCGATAACAATGAATCGTTTATTCGCAGCGTGAAGTACACTTAACGCAACCGTTTGCACTTATGACGTAATGAATCGCGTGCTTATTGTCGAATTAACTATATAACGTTTGATCTTGCGAGCGAAATCACGCGAGCAAAGACGATGGCCGCACGAACTTGACATGTGCATCTGAATGTGTTTCAGGGTCGTCCTCGCAATTGCGTTAATCTATTTATCGTGCATTCACTTTCACCGGCAGATCTACGATTATGGCTCGTACACGCTCGACATCACTGGTACGTTCAACTCACAATTCCATCCGGCTTATTTGGAGAAGATTCCTAGCTCTTTTACATTTAATTTACGTAAAAGGATTTTTTTGTTAAATTTATATTGAGGACGCAATAATTTTAGAAAAGACGCAGATCTTTTTGTAAAATTTTTTAATTATATCTATACTTTGGTTTACCCACAAATTTTTCCTTAAATGCAATTGCAACAGCATTTTACGCTCTCCTATAAGCGTGACCGCGTTATTAAAATAGTAATGACATCTTCGCGATGTTGTCACACTTCTTACTGCCTGCAATTATGTAAGTTTCACACTGCGAAAATGTAACGTATCTGTTTATTTAGATCTATTTTTAAGAAGACAAACGTGATTTCCGATATCAATTTCGTACGCTTAAATCCTTCTATCGTTGCCCTTATAAGTCTGCTTCCTTTGTTCTTTACAAACGGCGTTTTATAAATTGAGTCACATTCAGCGTGATATATTGATTATTGAGCAGTATGTGTATGATATTGAGCGTTTACTGTGTCTCGCTATTATGCACACGCCAATACATCTCGTTCGCAAATGTTTTCGACGATAAGTCTCATCATTATTCTCGTGCTTTTATAACATATATGAATGTTCTTTTCAGGCCCTCTCATGGTTATAACGCAGAAAGTAACTAGTCTAGCGTTCAACATTCACGACGGGCTAATGCGACGCGAAGAGGAACTAACACCGATGCAACGTCATCAGGCAGTACAGTGAGTGCACGTGCTCTTTTAACAGGCCCCGTGCGCGTTGTTATTTATATCGAGCACAAGAAATATCAAGAACGTAATGCATATAAAAAGCAGTCCTGATAATTGTTTTATGACGTCAAAATCGTATTACTTATGAACTGTATTGGTAAAATATATTTCTACATATAAATGTATTTATACGTTTAAAATCGCAATACTTGTAATAATTATAATAATGTAAACATGCGTTTAGAAAAGAAGATAAGGCTTTTCCAGTTTCACTAAATTTTGACAAATTTATTAATAGAAACGAATTGTTAATGAAACGCGAATGGAAGAATATCTTCGAACTTTATTGTTTACGTTACCGTAAAAAGATATTCTCTTAATGTTACAGGAAGATGCCAACTACTTTGGAATTTTTCAGCTACATCTTTCACTTTCAAGCTCTAATGGCTGGCCCAGTGATATTCTATCGCGACTACATCGATTTTATACATGGCCATCACTTGCCTGGTGCCAAATCTTTAGCCGTAAGGATATTGACGTGGATATAAAACCTTATAATGCTTGTTACAATTCTAGAATCTATGTCATCTTTGTTTTAAAATAAAAATTAAGGCATTATTTTTTAATATGATGTTGCAAATCATAGATTTGTCGGTTTCACAATTTAACAAAGAATTACTATATAATAGATATAAAAGGAGAAATATTAATAGTAATGACAAATGTTTTAGGGCTTTTATGACAAAAATAGTCAAGAAAAGGAGATCGTTTTGGAGCCCTCACCAACTCTGGTCGTTATCAAGAAAGTCGTAGCGAGTTTAGCATGCGCTATTATATTTATCACATTTATCCCGGTCTTCCCAATACAGCGTGTAAAAGGTTCGTTTGAATCTTTTGTCTTCAATCTTATCGCGTATAGTATGTATATATCTCTGTGATTAATGATGCATTTCTTTTCCAGAGGACGAATTCCTGGAGAACACAAGTATGCTTTACAAAATATGGTACTTAATGCTAACGACTATGCTCGCGCGCTTTAAATACTATCACGCGTGGTTGTTCGCCGATGCCATATGTAACAATTCCGGCCTTGGATTCAACGGTTATGATGAACGAGGCAACGCGCGTTGGGATTTAACCTCGAACGTCGACGTTTATAAGTTCGAGGTGCGATATGTCTACTGTTTATTATAATGTATAGATAAAAGTAATTAAAATTTCGTAGCATTACTGGTGACTAAATAGGAGATGCTTGAACTCATTTTCTTGTCGCCAATATACATAGCGAGACCCACGTTTATCTAAAGTTAATGTTGCAATTTATCGTTTGATTTTCAGACATCACTTAATCTTAGGGAAAGTATCGACAGTTGGAACAAAGGCACAAATTTGTGGCTGCGATCGATCATGTACGAACGAGTTGGTCGTAACAAAGTAATCTACACGTACGCCTTGTCCGCTCTATGGCACGGTTTTTATCCCGGCTATTACCTCACATTCGCGAGCGCAGCGTTCTTCACTGTAGCGGCACGTTCGGTTAGTATACTTGTGCTGTATTTTAAGGACTGCGAACAAATTAGGTGATTTTTAATTTCCCGTACTCTTGCAATAGGTCCGTCGCCATATCCGGCCGTTGTTCCTAGAATCTCAACGAAAGAAGACTTTTTACGATGTCTTAACGTTCATCACGACGAGAATTGTAATGGCCTACCTGACGTTCAGCTTTGTATTATTAGAATTGGTACCAAGCATCAAAGTGTACCTGTAAGTCTTTTATCGTTAACTAGGATTGTAGAAATGATATTCTTCGATATATCGAAACTTCGAATTTATATTGTCGAAGGATATGTTCGTAATTACCAAAAGCCTGACTTTGATTAACGCATTTCTTTTTGTTGTCAGGTACTTGTACCTGCTCCCGCATTTATTGGCTTTGATCGCGATACTACTTCCACCCCGCCTGGGGCTGTCGCGAAAGACGCACAAGCAGTCGGCCGCAAAGATCGAGACTGATCTCTCCGAAGCAGTCAGCAACGGAAACGCACACAAAATAATGTAGTCTTCTGGTCGCGACGTTAGGAAAGACAGATATTTTTTATGAATGTTTTTATTGTACATATATATATAAATATTTAATATATATGTATATGTATAAGTGTACCTATATACAATATTTCTTGTTACAATGCATTACAAATGTGAAAGTCTATCGATAATGTGCTTTATGCACGTTACATTTGTGTAAAACATTATCGAAACTACGTATCGTTTTTACATATAATAACAGATAAGAAAAATTTTATAATTCGCCTAAATATATGGCTGTTTTATTTACGACTTTATCAATCTTCTATTCGGTTTTGTATCACCATGCGCCATTGTATCTAAATGAAAAAAAAAAGTTAAATTGAAGCTTTTATGCAAAGACTCGAGATAATACCGGAACATGAAAATTATTAGTCTCAAGAAAGATTTAAGTGATGTTATTAGAATACTATCGTAGCGACCGCGAAGCTTGAGTTATTCTGACCGTCCAGTTTAAATATAATTACAGACTACGACGAGTGGACTCTTAAATGGCTTTGCGCACACATCTTTATTCGATCGTTGTCTAATGGAATATCATGGTTGTAATTGGGTAAAGAGAAGCACTGAGACTGTTAGCGTGCACGCGAAGCCCTATCGCGCGAGCAACGACGCGCGAGCACGTCTGACCACCGCGAACGGTCAGTTAGTGTTTCGTTGTTCGATGGCAGGAAGAATACAACACGCGGAAAGAGGCAAAGAACAAACCAAAAGAGCATGGTAAAACCTCTATCTATAATTCATACTTGAAATGCAGTCTTCATTAACCGTGTTGAAACTATTGAAGATTTCGTCTGTACTTTGCATAGAGTCGAGTGATCATTATTTGAGACAAAGAGCATCATTTACAGATAAGGCGCATTATTATGGAAGCTTAAAATATCTTCTCTGAGAGAGAGAGAGAGAGAGAGAGGTCATAAAAAGACCAATAAACTTTTGAATCCTGCTATTTTTATATAAGAAAAGTTCATTGAACTTTTAAAGCAAGGAAAATAGAATTGCAAAGTTATGGTAGATTTTAACGGTTGAATAATTTAAAATAATTAAAATTACGTGCATGATATCTAACGTGAACAGATATTTATAGGAACACAATCTTCAAGCGTTAAAAATGATAATGATGATTGTAATAATGATACGCTTAACGTGATTAATTGTGCCAATTATAAGTATCTCTAAATAATATAATTCGTTCAATGCTGAGGTGATACTATAATTTATTCGTATCACATTATTCTTAAACGATTATTGTTTTGTGTCAAAAACTTTACATAAATTTGATGGAGGTTTTACTTATGTCAGAAAAGAGTTTTCTGTCTTTACACGAAGTCGCCTTCGAAGCGAATCCGATGTGCGTAATCGATGATTTGCAGAAGCTCTTTACTTTGGTAAAGGTCGCGTACGCTATGTTGGTGATCACCCTGCTGCTGATGATGTGGGCGTCCGTAGTGCGAATGCACGAGCTACCAGTCCAATATCCGCCGTGTTTCTTTAATCCGCTCTGCACTTGCTCGAAGGCCATACCGGATCTCGGCATAGTGGCGTGCTACAATGTGCCGATGCCGCGAATACCGCAGCCGATTAATTCATCCAAAGTGTTCATGCTGCAACTGGAGAACAATGGGCTGAGGTTTCTGCACCCACAGTACCTCATGAACACTGGTACGCAATTGAATTAATATTACGATGGAATCGTAATACTGTGACAAAGGATTATACTGTATGCCTCGTTTTATATTTTCTTTTAATTTTTATTACAAAACTAATTGTGCGTATATATAATACGAAAAAGCATTTTAATGAAATATCTATGTACATACGGATTTTTTTATTTTTGAAACAATATGTATTGTACGTATTACATTGTTCTATTAAAATATATTTATTTCTGTTATTTTTTAAAACGTTATGGTGCGTGTCCACTTGCGAGTAAGAACTCTCGAGAGCAAAAAGAGAGAAAGAGAGAGAGACTCTCGAGAGTATCTCTCTCTCTCTCTCTCTCTTTCTTTTTGCTCTCGAGAGTTCTTACTCGCAGGTGGAGACGCACCATTACATTAAATACGTTTCCAGTTGTGAACGCATTTGAGCCATGGATAGATTACAAAGGATCTACAACAGTGATGTTTCTAAAATGATTGTTTCGTATTTTAGGTCTCTATAAACTACAGATTAAGCATAATCCCCTGGCGGACATTCCCGAAGAAGCCTTTCTAGGTCTCGAGAGATCACTATGGGAGCTTGACTTGTCCTATAATCAACTCACAAGCGTACCGAGTAAATCATTTAGACATTTACAAAAACTACGACTTCTCGAACTCACAGGTACTTGCTATTCGCTTTTAGCAAGTTAAATAAATTACAACTGTATTAAATTAGGGATTTAATAGTTCTAAAAAATTCTTTATTGACATTTAATATTCTACTCTGCATTGACTATAATAGTCTAAAATAATAATGTTATCAGAAGATCATTAATATTTATAATAATTTTGCATATATAATTTTAATTAAATAAGTTTTTAAATAAAAATGCAATGATTTTCTTAGCATATACGTCCAGCAATCAGAATATTTCAAATTGAGCAGAAGAGATAGCCGTATTAATATTTATATATAGTTTTAAAAATATTACGCAGAAAAACTGCAGTAAAATATAAGTTGAAAACTGTGTATGTATAGCATTACCGTATACGCAATTTCGTACGTAGGCAATAAGATATCTCGAATTGTCTCGGAAAACTGGCGTGGTTTGGAAAACTCTCTTCAGACTCTACGTTTGGGAAGAAACGCAATCGAAAAACTGCCAGCCGATGCCTTCGTCGGCCTCACTTACTTGGAGATCCTTGATCTTCGAGAGAACAGCCTGAAGGAGATCGATCCTTCGGTGTTCAGAGACGGAATGGCTCATCTGACGCACCTTTATCTGAATGATAATCAGCTGACATATGTGCCGTACGCCCAATTGTCCTTTTTGAAACGCATGAAGGTCCTTGATCTCAGTTACAACAGGATATCGAAGATGCTGCAGGCCCAACAGGAACCGGAGATCAGAGGTATACAGATGTCCCTGGATGTGTTACAGCTGGACTATAATCAGATCGAGACTCTCGTGTCTGGTGATTTTCAACACTTCTTCAAAGTCAACCGCACATATCTCAGAGGCAATCCTCTGACGACTATTGAGGTACAATGATAAATTTAGGATCACATTTTAATATGACTCAAATCGAACAGAGCAAAGTTGAAGGAATGTTTAAAAAATACTTGAAAATTAAGATCTTATATTAATATATAGTAGTAGTTAAATAACAGTAATTGATACATTATACGTATATATATATCGAATATTCGCGATTAAAGGAGGGCACGTTCAGAGACTCGCGCATTCGTGAGTTATATTTGAGCGACTGCGATCTGCTGGAGATCAGCTCACCCAACTTAGCCGGTTTGGAATCGTCGCTTGAGCTATTAGACGTATCAGGAAATAATTTAACTATGCTTCCTCATCATCTGTTCCAAGAGTTCGATTTTCTGCGTACGCTCGTCTTCCGTGAGAATCGTATTGACACATTTTCGCCAAGTAAATACTACACATTTTTCGCAATTTGTAGACACAAAACAAGTATTATCCTCACGATGTATGTTTTCAGTTGAAGTTTTTAATGGCTTCCAATATTCTTTATATAATTTGGACCTCAGCGGCAAGCAGAATAGCATGATTTCTCTTCAAGATCTACGACAAATGAGAAATCTGCGTTTTCTCTCGATCTCCCGAATGCCACAGGCGACATTATCGGCGAATGATTTCTTAGAATTTGGTATGGACATCAAAGAATTACGGATAGTCAATAGTAATCTAAACACGATCAAGGGTCATACTTTCATGCACGTTCGCGGAATCAAGCACCTTGACTTTTCTGAGAATTCGATATCGACGATAGATGATGAGGCTTTCTCAGAGGTAAACTCTTATTCAACTTTTTAAATCTTCTTAGCTTAAACTTGATATAAATTAGAGAAATTAAAATTTAATAAATAAAGATAATTTAATAAGCAAATTTAATAATTAAGTGTTCTATGTGCAATAAAAAAATTATATAAACAATACAAAAGTTGCTTAAAAATTTTTCTAAACTTTACACGTTAGGTGGGCCATTCTCTGTTGACGTTAAGGATATCTCACGGTCTCTCCTCCACAATTTCTGAAATACCAAATCGGCCGTTTAAATCGTTGACGAATTTGCAGCATCTTGATTTCAGTAATAACAAGATACGATCTTTACCTGCTACATCTTTCCATTTTTTGAAAAGAATTAAACGCATTGAGCTTCAGGATAATGAAATTGACAACATACCGAAGGGTACCTTTCAGGTAAGTTACTTATTTATACTACGTGTGTTCTATGTGACAAGAAAACTGTTTGATTAGGGTGACATCCATTCAACACTGGAAGAAGTCAATTTTGCGTTTAATCAAGTGAGGAATTTGCAAACTCATACATTTGTTGATCTGTCGGCCTTAATGACGATCAATCTAGAGGACAACGCCATCGAGAGGATCGAAAGACGGGCTTTTATGAATATGAACCGACTTAAGTACGTTAACTTGCGCGGCAACAAGATTAGAGACATCACCGATGAAGCCTTCCAGGTAATTTATAATTTATTAATATATAAATACATGCGTGATTCTTAGTGAACACAGGGTGTTTACACTAGGTTTTATAAGTTGTTTGAATGTGCTTTTAAAGCCGATTGTTTTATAATAAACATTTTATATAAAAGTATTATTTATTACGTATTTAAAATTTTCCATGTATCTTCAAAATTAAGTCCGAAATTAAATATTTGTTATTAAGTCAACGTATAAAATTAACATTAAGTAAATTAAGTTAAATAATTTTGTAAGCGTTAATTATTCTATAAGTAAATTCGATGATAAACTGATGGTTTGAAAAAGCACTGTACACATTACTGATGTTTCAGAATTTACCAGATCTTGAGTTTCTTGATCTCGCATATAATGATCTTAATGAATTTGACTTCGCCTCGTTCGATCAAGTGGGGACATTATCGTCATTTAAAGTCAACGTTAGTCACAATGAAATTTCAAGATTGTGGGTAAATAACACCATTTTCGCATCTCCGTCTGTCGGTGAGTTTGTCTATTGAGATCGTGTTTAATAATCTCTCATAATCTCTCAGAAGTAAAACTTAAACTTTAACTTCAATTTAGAAATAATAAATAATAAATAATGAATAAAATTCAATTTTTAATTATTTTATCTTGTTTTGTTTTATTTAAATGATTTAATATATTATTTACTTTTCTATTACGCTGTTTTTATTTATAGCCGTTAACATTTTTAAACTAATATTTTTAATTTCCTAATTTCTACTTCCAGTTGGCGGCAATGTGCAGTCCAACATTAGGGTTTTGGACTTGAGTTACAATAATATTTCTGATATCGCAAGATATTATTTCAAGCCGGTCGAGTACTCGCTTACTCATCTATATCTGTCTAACAATCAACTGAGGAATATCACCCAGGGTGTCTTTGGCAATATGCCTCACTTGCAATGGCTCGACTTGAGACATAACGAGCTGATGGAGCCAGACTTTGACTGCTTCAAAAACACAAAAAACCTGCAAGTGTTATTTCTCTCCTGGAACCAGATTATGGACATCCCGGCGGAGACTATGAGACCTCTGAAGAAACTGCGCATCGTGGATTTGTCTCATAACAAGCTAAGAACACTGCCGGACAATATGTTCATTGATTCCAACATAGAGAGTCTTGATCTCTCACATAATCAATTCACGAGGCTGCCTATCAAGAGCATGTCGGTGACTTCTATCGCGAGATTAGCAAATCTGGACATGTCCTGGAACGTCCTGTCGGGGATCCACAGCACCGACACGATATTTAGACTTAGAGTAAGTTTATTTCTCTGAGAATACTCCGAGATTACATTACAATGAATCGAAATTATAGCTAGTTATTTTTTTCTGTTAGCTACCTCGTAATTGTACACTGCTAAATAATATATATTATACATTATATTTACTTATTTTTTAATATACTTTTCAATAGGGTCTCGTGTGGTTAGACCTATCGTATAATCGACTCGTTAGACTAGACGACGGTGTATTTTCCGATCTACCGTATCTGGCTCATCTCGACCTAAGTCACAACAAGCAACTCATTCTGGAAAGCCGCGGAAGGACGTTCTACGGTTTGGAGGACACACTTCTGTATCTGAGTCTGAGCAATATTTCTCTCTTAAGTGTAAGTACTTTATTAAGCGAGTGAGATATATAGAACACAGCCTGTAATGAATACTATATTAGGTTCCAGAGTTACCTCTGCGACGATTGCAAACCTTATATCTGACACATAACGAACTGGCATCGATTCCCCCGGAAATGTCGTCGAATCTGACATCTCTTCACCATTTAGATTTAAGTTACAACGATTTGACAGTGGTACCACTGATCACTCACACATTGCCAGAATTAAAAACTTTCAACTTGGCGGACAATCCTATTACTACCATTACAAATACGAGTTTTCTGGGTGTGGCTGACAGTCTCGAAGAGCTCGACATACGAAGACTCGCGCTGTCAGTCTTTGAGGTAACTTGAGGTTTATTGTTCACATTTCGAATTTGCACATTACGAATTTTGTGAGATCTCACCGTAGAACATGAATCGACTTTTGCAGGCAGGTGCACTCTGCAAAGCCACCAAACTCCGCAAATTGCACATTACTGCATACAATGGTATAAAGAACTTTAACTTTCCCAACATGCTGAAATACAATGACGGCTTAAAACATTTGCTCATTGATGTGAGTACTGAATGAATATTACGTATCATGAAAATTAGATTTACTGAAGCTATTTGTAACAGGTTCAGAATGACACCAATTTAGAGAAGGAAATGAGAGGGAAATTACCCTCCAAATTGTACAACATTACACTGACTGGTAGAGCTTTAAAGAATATACATTCAGAGATACTGCGCGTAAGTTCTCGTTCCTTATAATTCGTACTTTAAATAATTTACTAGGTGTTGGTTTTGAAGTATGCATTGAGAGAGAAACATTTTAGGGTATGCAAAACCCCCATCTTCATTTCGGCTTGTACAATACCAGCGTAACGACCGTGCCGCGAGAAATATTCAGAAATGCGCAGCGTGTGCGCAACGTAACTGTGGAAATTCGCAATAGCGATACTCGAACAGTACATAATCCATCATCCGGTTACAAGCCTGGAGTGCCGAGCGAGCGATTCCTCATGAAGCTTCGATTAGCGGGCAGTCATCTTAATTGCGATTGCGATATCGGGTATGGCATAATAAAATTGAATTGTCATAGCAGAATACTTGAATACTGATAAATTTAAAGAGAACAAAATTATACAGCAGTAAGCTGTAATTATCTCAATAACATGAATTACTTATAATGTGATGATACAGAGAAGGCAAATTAATATATATTATTTACTTGGATTCTAAAATTTATGAAGTTTTATTAATGCTTTATTCTTTTGACTTAATTTTCCATTATATGCAACTCTATATTCGCAAAATATCGATATATTGATTTACTAAGGCTAACGAACAATAAACATTTCTTCTTCCTTTCACACAGGTGGATAGAAGTATGGCAGAGAAAGCACAGACAATATCAAGAGGACAGATGTATGTCTTACGACGAGTTCCAGAATAACGAGCGAGAAGAAGGCGACGAATTCAATTGTTGGGACAACGGATGGGACGATGATCTCCGCGAGACGTTCTGTCTGAACAAAAACAATGTATCGTTGTCGAAATTGTTAAAAACGGAACTGGAATGTGGATGGGGCGCGGCGAGTTACATCAAGCTGAACAGTATCGTTTTCTTGGCGTTCTCGATCGTCATAACTGTCATTTATTAAGCGTCTCCGTTCTCGACTTTATTCCCGGACAGCCAAATCTGTCGAGAACATATTTTGAAAATGTCTGCTGCAAATTTTCTCGATAGAATGCCAGCAGGAATATAATACGTTCTGCTAACAGAATATAATCGCAGATTGATTGCAGAAACTGAGCGCAAAATGTGCTATTTAAATGATGTATTCCATTTAAATGTTTACAAAATGACAGATTCTGCTCGGTTTCTGTCGACAATCTGCTGTCAGATTATATCGGCAGGCTCTATCAGCAAAACACGAGTTTAATGCGGACACAGATGATATCGGATTGCGATATTTGAGCGAAATCTGCTGCCAATCTATTGTCATACTGCAGATTGTTTCCTGGGTTGCCTTCTATTCAATATTCTCAAACTAATTTGCGAATTTTATCATACCAGACAGGTGTCACAAAGAAATTATTAACTATATTATAAATTATCGTGCATGCTCGAAAATTTGTACAAAGAAAGATTTAAAAATTTTTGTAACGATAGCGCCGTCATGATTTTATTCGCATTTTACAATGCTGAAATTTAATTGCGCACTACGAATTTAGTTACAATAGCAATTGCCATTTGTATGATCGGCAAAACGATGAAGCCAAATATAAATATAAGGCAAACGTACACGCTGAGTAGTTGTACGACGAAAATCGTGAGTTTCACAGTTATTTGCTGAACATTCTTAGTCCTGCGAATATCGATTATCTTATCCAATACGAATCTCAATATGAAGGAAAACATCTGGAACTCACGTTTAAAGAGATACACATTTAATCCTTTCGGTTTGTCAATGCAGAGAATTTATAAACGCGCTTATATGTATATAATCACCTGGATAACGGGAACGATATTAACGATCACGTATATCAGTGCCAACAGAGATCGTACCGTAGCCTGAGCCATTACTACGATCAAAGCAGCGAAGGAATATTCGGTACGTGGTGTGCCGTAAGATTCCTGATGGGTAGCTAAATACTCTCGACAATTGAAAAGAATACTTCGCTTTGCTCTACCTTCTTGGGGTTCATCCTCTTTGAGAACATTCTCTACAATATTACAATACATGATTCGATTACCTATATGTTCTTTAGATTGACACTTTTCAAAAAAATATAATTTTTTATGTACATTATATCAATTTAATCCGTATCAATATAAGTTTTTAATCACATCTGTTTAGCGCAAGAACTGATGCTGTAAGCAAAATTTTTGTTGAATAAAGATTTGTAACATCTTAATATAGCAAGCAAAGAAATTAATTACTCGACTAGCGTACTACTTATCATAAAATTAAGATTATTAAAATCTCACTAAATAATTAATTACTAATATATAAGAAAATAATACTATATTATAATGATTGTGTTTATATAATTATACATTTACCTAATAAATGAGTGGATTTTTTATAATCCATATGACTATTGATAGAGACGCTATGCGGATTTTTATATTTCCATGAGACGTATTCAAGTTGTTGAATCACATTGCTTTCAGATGTGGATATATCATCATATTTCCCGATATCTAAATTTTCAGTCTCACTTGATGTATTTGGAACCTTTTCCGCATTGATCACACTCAGTGATTGAAGAGACAAATTCTGTCTACTAATGCATCTGGGCTCATCCAAGATCTAATAATGAAATGATTCGTCTATATCGTGTTACTTAATAGTTAATACTTTATATTATTATATCTTTATATCTTGCGTAATGAATTTTCGAATATACTATCTCATATCTTTTTCTTTACTTTTCTACACAAGTCAGAATTGTCTGCTCGTTGAGATCGTTCATGTTTAACAGTAGGACTAATGGGGTTTAATTTGCAGGGAGCAGCTATAACTTTGACGGTCTGCTTTTCTTCGATGTGCATACTCGCGAAATTTATATGAATTATTTACAGTATGTTTATAAAGTTTTACATACAGAAGGATTATCGTGATAGGCGTGATAGAGAAGCCGAGTGGATTTATCAAATTTATCAAACATCATCTCTCTATAGATCGTGAATGCAGCATATGTTTGCGTGAAAAATGTGAAGTTATCGTGGATAAGTTATTCTTTTAGCTGCATCGATTACATTTACCTTTTTTTCTTTTTAGAACAGCTATAAAATTCTATTTAGAGGAATTATTGAGCGTATTTAGCACTAAGCATATGTAAATTTCTGAATTTTAATTAATAATAATATTATTAATATAAATATAATTTGTTGCCTCTGATTGAATCGTTTTTCCATATGTTTTTTCCATTGAACCAGTTAAATGATCAAAAATTAATACAATAAATTCTATTAACAAAATAATATTACTCGACAAGTTATAATTAATCGCCGAATAAGTTTGATCGAAATTTACAAAGACTATAAAACTTCTAGTTTCTGATTTCCATTGTTTTATTTAATATTAATATCAATATTATTATTGTATATATATGTATTATATATTATTATATATTATTGTTTATTTTTATTTTTTATATAATAATGTTATATATATTATTTATTTCTTAATTTACATATATAATTTATTGTATATTTATGTCAAGATTTTAATAATCGATCTATTGTTTTGAGTTGTGTGAATCATAAATTTCATATTTTTCCTAAACCGGCGGAGTAACGCGCACCGGAAGTGCACAATTGGATGCCGGGTACATACATTTGGCGCGGTTGGCGCCATTGCTCCATTGGCTTCTTCCGTTCTTCGTCGTCTTCGCGCACTTCGCGTTAGAAGAGGTTATGTGGTGAAGTCTCCCTGCGAATTTTTCGTGACGAATTTTTGTGCTCTGCGTTAAAAACAATCAGCCAAGATGGTAAGCGGCGAGAATAATTATTATTGAGTTATTTATAATGTAACAATCTTTTAAAATCTTCCCGATTTGTTATCCGCTTCAATCTTTTTGCACTTGAAACTTAAACTAGCGTTTCTAACCTAAAAAAGAAAACTGAATGCCGGGTTAATTTTCCGCCCGAAACAATTTTCTGTAACAAATAAAAATTATGATACTTTATGTACAAAAACCAAGATAATGAATAAATGGTATACTTGAGAAGTATATAACTTAACAAATCTTTTTTGTACTTTCAAGAATATGAACGTCCGCTTGTTTTAACAAAGGGTTCACATTAATAGGGTTTACATTAATAAAGCGAAATTAGGAAAGAAATTTTCTTTGTTTAAAGCACGAGGACAGGGAGAAATAGCAAAACGTTATTTTTAAAAGATTTATTTTGTCAGTATTTATTCAACTTGAGATATAAGTAATGTAAACATATTCATGAATGTGTAAACATGCATGAGGATGTAAATAAATTGTATGCATATAAGTAATTTATCATTTTAAACATGTTATGGATATAAGATTGTTAATATGGAGATATATATTTTTGATTAACAAATTATATTTTTCAGACGATTGGCAAAAACAATAAGATGCTACAGCATATCAACTATCGAGTTAGGATCATCCTACAGGATTCTAGAACGTTCATAGGTACATTCAAGGCTTTCGACAAGCATATGAATCTGATACTTGGTGACTGCGAAGAGTTCCGCAAGATCAAGCCAAAGAACACGAAACAGCCGGAAAGAGAAGAGAAGCGCGTGCTGGGCTTTGTGCTTCTGCGCGGCGAGAATATTGTTTCGTTGACGGTGGAGGGTCCACCACCTCCCGAAGAGGGACTGCCCAGAGTACCGATCCCGGGAGCGGCACCAGGGCCAGGTATGGCTCGCGCTGCTGGTAGAGGTATGCCAGCGAACGTTGCGGGAGTGCCGGCTGGATTGCAAGGACCGGTCAGAGGTGTCGGAGGTCCCTCCCAACAGATCATGACACCAGGCAGCAGAGGTCAAGTCTCGGCACCACCTCAAATACATCCTGGTGGCCCGCCGCGTATGCCAGTCGGTGGACCGCCACCAGGCATGATGGGACCGCCAGCTGGAATGATGGGTATGATCTTTTTCCTGATCTGAATGTCCGTTGAAACGTCGTTATTTTTCCTTTTTCTATGTTCTTCTCTTGTATATCTTACGAATAACTCGATATACAAATGTTTCTTTCTCCTTTTTCAGATTTACATTCTAATATTTAGCGTATATATTTTTATTTAATACTCTTTACATATTAGAATTATTTTGTGACGTAATATTTAAAAGAAACTTTATGACCTTGTTCTTCTGTCAAATACAACAATTACACAATATATGTCTGACGTAAATCTACCATCTTTCTGAGTTCTTAATCACAATAAAATTTATAGGAATGGTTCTATTAGTATTAGTAGTATTTTACGTGTATTAATTTTAAAAATCTAGAAACTTATATAATTACGGAAATAGTTACGAAATGTATGTATTTCGCTGTCTTATAGGTATGCCACCCGGAATGCCGCCTCTAGGACGTGGTGGTCCACCGATGGGACCACCTGGTATGAGAGGTCCGCCTCCAGGTTTGATGCGCGGCGGCCCACCTCGTCCGTACTAGCAAACTGGATTATTAAGAGATATTTGATATAATAATATAATTAGGGATAAGAAATTCTTTTGTAATATTAATATACTGTACTCTTTAATCCTCACGAAACTCTTGTGTCAATGTATAACAGTTTTATAAACTCAAGATTCATAACAAATAATAAAGTCTGCTCAGGTAACATCCATTATTTGTACTTGAAGGAAATTAATATATTAGTAGTATTCGAAAACTCGTAACTTGTGCAGGTCTTTCAATTAATTAATCGATTAAAAATAAATTTGTGATGTTTGACAACGGATTTTCTACTTTGAGATGAATCTTTTCTAAGAGCAATGTAATCTTTAGCCCAGCATAAAGTCTCCTTAGATAGTGTTCCGACAAACATATGTAATATTATTAAATTCAAAGATACAACGAACGATCGATTTATTCACGTTTAAATATTTTTATTTCTTTGCAATTAGCTATAAATATCGTTATTCGTATCTGTACACAGTTTGCACTAGTATTATATATATAGAACAAAGTATCTCTGATTTATTGCATCAATTCTCATCTATAAATTTTATTTCTAAATGAGAGTATTGCCATTGAATGGATGCTGTACATGCACATTTTTTTTATAAATTTCTTAATATACAATATTATCTCGGATAACAAATTTGCATTTGCATTGAGATTGTTAAAATAAGACCCGCTTTAACTTAACAAAATTAATTTAAAAAAATTGATTAACTAATAAAATTGTTCGCTTTTAACATATTTTTAAAATCATTTATGTAATAATATAGCGTATTATTAAATTACATTTGAAAAAGTCACTCCGGCGAAGTATACGCTGTAGCGTCTTTTTCATTTTCTATATTTCTGTACATATTTGGCGCGATAAGCTACCGCATTTCTTGATACGAGAAATCCGAGACACTCATATCGAATATATACGAGAAAAAACGCAGTTATCTCAATTTACATATTGATGAAAATTGCAATCATGCAGATCAGCTTACAAATTCATACAATAAGAATTTAGGCGAAAGCATGCAGCATGCTGCAACTTGACGAAAATACTGCTTAAAACACAGTAAAGTCGGAGTAATAGAATACCGCGATATTGCAATTTGAAGGGCAGTGTCATTTCGCTTACAAAAAATATAGCCTTTTCCTGTTGCACTCTCTTAGTTGAGAACAGACTGTTGCCCTATACGAGCAAGTTTTATTGAAAAATAGCAAAAAAACAATACCTCTCTTTTTCGCTATTGATAATTAATGCTATCGTTGAACTTCTATTAACATTCGCACTTTATTAATGGCGATAGGGCGGAAGAAAGTATACGTCCACCCAACGTCTTTTCTCAGAGTAGCCTGAGTACGTGGATACATTTACAAAATATTTACAACGCCGCTGCAACAGTAGTATGAGCAAGTGACAGATTCATAAAACCAAACTTCTAATACTTAACATCATAATATCACATTTACAAAAATTTAGTCTTACATATTTACAAACAAAAGTACATAAAATGATTTTCGAGTGTGCATGCAGTTTGACACATCCAATTACTTCTTTTACCATGTAAAATGTATAGTAATTGCATTTATTCAATAATTTTTCGATAATTTTTGAAATAGTCGTATTTGCTAAATATACAATGAAAGAATACAAATCTTTGAATTAATAAGCTGCATTTAGCACTAATATAACTGCTTCATATTTAATAGTGAATACATTCAAAGTATAAGCACCATAGGATGGTAATCAGTACAGTTACATTTAACACTAAATGCAAATCGAGTTTTAGTTCCCTTCTTTTCTACAGAAAATAGTAGCAGAACTAAAAGCTGGAGTCATGAAGGAGTAATTTGTATTGCAAACCATTGCAAACTGGGATTACGAAAAATTAAATGAACAAACCCGCATGGTCGTTTCTGTACAAAAGTATAAATTAATGGCAGATTTTATAATTTGGCACTTATATACAATATTAATATCAATTAATATGTTTGAATGTCAGAATCATATTTTTACAAATTATGTTATTCATTCTGCATATGTAATAATGAAAAAGATTGGCATCGGTCATTTTTAATCCTTTTGAGATCGTCGAAATTTTCCGAGGAACGAACATAGACATATGTATATAAACCTCGTTAAAATAGACATACATATATAAATAGAAACATACGCTTATATACGTATACATGATAAATACATCAGTACGCTTTCGAAACGAAAGTATCAGCCTTGCCATCGTGTAATGATGATTACGACACGCGTAACGCGAGATCTTTAGTTGTTACGAGTCGTCATGCTTGTCCATCTGATTTACGGTCACCTTCGACCTTGACGACTTTTCTAAATCGTGATTCTCATCGTTGTCCACTCGGTACTGGAAGCTCTGCAAATTCTTATTTGTCGATTCTAGCGTCGCATCAAATGCATCCATGTCTTCGTCAGGTTTTTCCGGTATCCGAATATCGTCTTCATCATCTGTAAAGGATGTAATTGAACATGAACTTTTTGCAACAGCTCTTTTGACTTTGATGACGTATCTCATCTCTCAAAGATTAAATTTAATGAGATATATTATGCATATCTTCTTATACACTTGTGCAACATACCGTGCACTTGCTTCGGCTTGACGCGTATTTCCTTGCTTCCTAACGGTTTTGAGGATTCTAGCAGATTCGTGACCTGAGAATTCGTGCTCGCGCTAACATCATTGTTTTTTCTGCAAGAGCAAACCAAATTCATCAAAACGTCTTTAAGATTCATTAATTGTTATATCTACACTCGATATTACTACTACTCTGACCTGTGCTGTTTTTCTTCCAATGTGGAAGTAATCATGGAATCTGTTTTCAGAGATGACTCCCGATCGATTATATTTTTGTCGCTATTGCATTCTTCCTTTGACAAGCGCGCATTTACATCCTGTATCACAGTCTTAGGTTCAACGTTGAGAATGGCCGGCGAATCGAAAAGCTGCGAGAGAACCTTGTTCTCCGGACCATCATGTCGTAAATGTGTGACCAAAGACACAACCGCTGCTTTTCCAGACTGCAAAATATAATTATAAATTTATAAGTATAAAGCATCAAGACAACAAATCAAACGGAATAATAGCAGTAGGGAAGATATAAATCACCTTTATATTCGTTTTGATAAATTCTGTATTCTGTGGCGAGTTTGCAGTCGGCAGCATAGTCTTTGTTTTATCTCCATTGTTCAGAGAGATATGATGGGGTTGAACATTGATCGAATTTGCATTATGTTGGCTCGTAACGCATAGATTCTTTCCTCCCATTATTACTTTGCCTAGCACTTCCTGAAATAGTCAGTAGAGCAGTCAATGCAATGAAATCTCTGTATACTCAACTTTTACTTTTATTCTTTGATTCATCTTTGTATTCTTGGTACTTATTAGAATACCTTGCCTGCGTGTGATAGTGTTACGCCTTTTGCCTTCTGGATGACGATCACTTTAGTCTTATTTAATTTAGTGTTATAATGAGGCATATTTATAACTTTCTTGGGAAAAATACCCTGAAAAAAAATACATGTATGTGATACAATCTAATATGTTCTTGATAAAGAGGTTTCTACATTTTATTATTTTTATAATTTTCTTGTTGCAGCAACAAGAAAATAACAAGTTTTAATACAAACCCAAATAAGTAGGAATAATTGTATTTAGATTTACCGTTTTGGCAGTGGATTGATGATCAAAGGTTGTAATTTGTTCGGATGGCAGTGTTTTACACATTAATGTTGTGGGAACTTGTTTAATTTGAGGCGGCCCGGGGCCACTTGATACTGTTGTTCCAGGATACACAGGCATTGATTGCGTAAGTCGGGGACCTAAGGATTTATTTATATTATCTATGTGACATAAAAATAACTATGAAGTATTATTTCACGCATCATTTTTATGAGGATTTTTATTAACAACACGAATAAATGTTTGATACTTACTTGAGACTGTAGTACTTTGTATAATTGGTGTCATAGAGCTCTTTACAGATGATGGATTTGAGCTAGTATTGTCAGACATCTGGGCTTTCTGTGCACCATCTGCAATAATAAAAAAAGACTGATGTTGCACAGAAATCGACTGTACGTCGTACATTTTCATCAAACTAAACTCGATCTAAATTTGATGCAGGTGCGTACTTGTGCTATCTTGAGATTGTGTGTCTTTGCTTGAATGCACTTTGTTTATGCTCAATACACAGCTCGATACTGCCGGTACTACTTTTGTACTAATTTTATTCTGCTCAGTGCTTACTACCGTCTTAGGATTGTTGGCGTTGCTCGTGCACATGGAAGTTGTAGCAACTACATGTTTATTTAACGTAACTGCGGTGCATTCACTCGGATGTCCTGACGCTGTAGTGCTCTTTTTAGAATCTGAGTTTATCAAAATAATTGAAACTTAATTAGCACTCTATTAAAAAAATATATGATATACAAAACTTTAGTATGTCTTATATATTGCGAAATGTACAAAACTTTATGTTCGAAAAAAAGCACATCTTCGAATTTATTACAAAATCTATGATTTAGAAAAAGCAATTTTTAAATATTATGGATATATTTCTTTCTTTCAAACACAGTAATTTCTGAGGCTTGATATTTTAATTCTAAAACAATGAACAACTTTCTATGTTAAGTAATTCCTTCTCAATCATGTCCATTGCACACAGGGATGATTAGTTTTATTTCCAAGGAATTTACATGAAAATAGAGAAAAAAAAGACACAAACCTGAGATCTCATTACTAGTAACCGTAATTAATGCAAAATTTTGACGCTTGGTTACTTGTAGTACTTGCGGCGCTTGTTTATTTTCAGAAGTCCGCAAAGTATGGTTTGGTGGTTCAGACACCACTAGAACTTTATTCGGTGGTGCTGTCGGCAACGGGGAAGGAGATTTGCGTTTTTGAGGGAACTCCTTGGGCTTTTCATTAATTTTATTAAGCCTATCTTTATCATCTGCCCTCTCATCTTCGCTCAAATTTGAATTCTACAAATTATGCAAGTAACATGATCAATAAAACTGAAGATATACACCGTAACATGTGAATATAATACAAACTTTTATATTTAAAAAATTGCCATTAGATAAATTTATTATATTTTTACTTACTTCCTCTGAGGTTTTGCAGTTATCAAGCTCATTTTCAAAGCTATTTAATCTTGTATCAATAGATAAATCTTCTTTTATTTTTACATCAGGATGAGATTCAGTTTCAGCAGCTGTTAATACAAATGTATATGTATATTTCAAATAATACAACTTATATAAGTCACTACTACAATTATCATTTAATAAACCTGTTGAGTTTCCAGATTGTCTAACAGTAACGCATGTATCAGGTTTTCTCTCGTTTGCAATCGCAGTTGTAAAAGACAGGCTATTTGCTAACGTAGTAAATGCAGACCGTGCCTTCAATCTTGGCAAGAGAGGAATAGTTCGACGACCTTCGAGAGCCCAATCTATACCAGTATTCGGACCATTAAGTCTGGACAACAATAAGTTCACATTAAACAAATGAATCTCAGTTTTCTAGAGTATTGTTTTTGTTAGAGACCTTGTAATAAGAGTCTAGCCATACGGTAGCAACTTTTGATTGGCTGCATTCAGCCGATACTCCGCTAGCCTAGCAATCGTGAGCAGTCGCTCGTTTCCTCTCCTTTTAATCCATTGGGTCAGAGGAGAGGAAACGAGCGACTGCTCACGATTGCTAGGCTAGTGGAGTATCGGCTGAACGCAGCCATTGGTTCGCCATTTCTCGTCAAAAGCAAGAGAAACGGATAGAGAAAGAGATATGAGAGAGAAAGAGAAAGCGATAGTGAATATACATCCTTCTCTCTCGCAGGATTTAGACAAGATCACCTTATGGCCAGACTCTTATGTTATAGATTCTCTAGTTTTTGTCAGTAATACAACAAGCTTCCTTCTATTTCATTGAATTTCACATACAACACTGTTATATATACAATTAATATCTTTTTATCCTCCTACGAGTTCTCAAATTCAATGTTGCATAGAATACATACTGTTCTGCAATTGTTGCAAGTTTCTCGTCGTTCACAGCTCTCCGTACTTCGGCACGATGTCTTTCATTGGAGATATGTAATACTTTAGCAAGTTCTTGCAACAACTTCTGCTTTTCGTTGGTGAAAGGGCCTTGAGCTCGTAGGACAGAGACCATACTTCCATAAGCGTCTAATTCTGTAGCACAAAAAAAGTGTCCCAGTATATTAGAATATATTATTGTACAAAAATTACACCAAGCTACTCTTATGATATACAGGCAAATCCTACTAATTTTATAAAACGCATTTATTTCAAACTAAAATTTGTATCAGAGGAACAAATTGTGTTCTAACAAACACAGGACACTCAAAATTGAGCGTGCTCTATCATGAAGAATATAATTTTATATTATTCTTTGCGATATATATTTGATCTAATCTAATCATCTAATTTAGTGTTATGTAATCACATGTATAGCTCTTTGCGTACTAAAATATTATATACTATAAATATACATATATATCTTTTTTTACATATTAATTTATAAAATAATGTATATTATAAGCATATAGATTATTAAATGTATGTAAATGTAAATTATCGATACTTGATATTCTATTGAAAAAAAACATGTATTTTTTTATTTATATACATGACCATCTTCTATACAATGGAGCGTGATCTTAGAGAAACAAGAGCTAAGTATTCACGCTGTAATTGACTGTTAAACGTGTTGTCTAGCTCCACGCGCGTTATCTACAATTCTACACAATACAAAGGTCATTTTCTAATATTAATACGAAATAAGAATCACGGCGTCTGGATTCTAAGCCATTGCCAGAAGAATGCAGACGTTGGGCCTGCGTCTTTCAGCTTTCTGTCTCACAAATGCAGATTATCCCCCGATGTGTCCATCTGACACGAGGACCAAGTCGCTGCATCTAATAACTAAATATAAAACGTGAGCTCGGCTTCCATGCCAAGCCATATCCGCTGCTGCTGAACGCGTTATTGGACCTCTAGGATTTTTTCACGAGCTCGGGCTCTCGCTTCGTCAGAAATGCAGGACGCGAGGACCGCGATCTTGGCAACGTCGCCGTCGCCGCGGCGTGGGAAACGCGACCCTGGAGAACCCGGCCACGCGTCCGTGGCCAGATTTTTTACGAAAAGAGCACGAGGGTCGCGAGCGAGGAGCAGCGGCACATTGACGAGGCTCTCGCTCGCTCGCGAAACGAGGCTATTAATTCGGCTCACATAACCTTACCGAGGCATCGTAGGCACTTCCTGCACTCGTCGCGAGTCATCTCCGGCCGCATCGGCCACATGATTCCGCGACTTCTCCCGCAACCGGACCGGAGTCACACGCACAGGACGACGAAATCGGCGCGCGTCTCCCAGCGCATTTTCGAAACCTCCGTTGACAGTCGTGCGAGTCGTGCGACGTGAAGTTGTCGGACTAGTACTATTTTATTGCCGTTGTTATTGGCCGCCCCTGCCTTGTGATCGCCATGCCGGTCGATCGCCGCCAAGTTGGCAGCTTCGGCGTGGGATCACCGCGCACGTGTCGCCGCGTCGTCGCATCTAATCACGCGTATAGTCGAAGGCTCACCAGCCTTGTGGGTCTATCTTACCGACCGAACGAAAGAAGCGCGGTTTCAAATGGAAGTCTCGCGCTTATTCCCGTTTATATAGTTTTTATTTATTACTATTTCTCAAACTTTCACGCGGTAGTTTAATCTTAGCCTGAGGTAATTTTTACACTGAATCAAAAAAATAAAGTTGTGTATAAAAATTTCTGTTAAACTGCGCGGATTTTCTCATATTTATTTTAGATTTCTACAAAATGATATACATAATGTGTGTTAGCGGGAAAAATCTGAAATATTTTATTTATTATTTTGTCTGAGTTTTTTCGAAAAAATGTTCGTATAAATTTGTATAAAAAATCTAAGAAAATCTTATTTATAATATATTTATTTATAATATATAATTAATAATATATAAAAAATTCTGAGACATTTTTCCCTCAGGACGATCATGAAATTAACAATT